TTCTCGTAGCTGTACGTAAATGCAATTCTCTAAATAATGCTTCAGTGCAACAATGCTTCCTATACACTTGGACATTAACACCCAAATGTTGAATAATCAAATAAGTATTTGATGATATAGTAAAACTTCGTTTATATGAACATATTGGGGGACAAGCAGTTCATAAGAACTCACTGATTCTTCCACTATATGAACGAAAAATCACAAGTGGTTGGGAGAATCAACGAACCCTTATTATGTATATGATCTATCCCAATTTACACATCTTATCTTTACGATAAATGAAGTTCTACTGTACTTTTAGGTAATTTCGTTTTATAAAAATGGTAAGTCAAAAAATGTAACATTGTAAAATGTAAAAATGTAAAATTGTAACAGCAACAATTACAACTGATGTACATATTGTACACAGTTTTCCACCACAGACGCACATGATTGTCAGGAGAAATCGTGAAAAGAAACGATCGCTTTTCTCGCTGAGTTCATTAGCGGCACAAATTAGTGCCTATACTTGAGCGAACGCATCGTGCCAGTATTTTCTACAGGCAAAACGAATCGGAGTTCATCCGATGAGCATTCACGATGCGTTTCCACGCGTACGAAAGGAATGTGTCCCTTCTCCACCTCGTTGCTTATTGTTCGTTCTATGGGTGCGGTTTGATTCGTCTGCATTTCGATCCAATTCCATTCTTCTCTACCTTCTAATTTCCTTTCTTCTTTTTAGTAAACAAAAATATTATTATGTTAATAACAGGTTCCTTTTTTTGATGTCTTCATTTAATAATTCATTTTTTTATACTTTTGTTGTGGTTTAATAATTGATTTACTCTGCCAGACACAAATAACATCTTTCCTATTTGCATTTAATTGACGCATTATCCTTCGTTCAACCTATAATTTGCAATTGCAATTACGTATTTACAATTATAATATTAATTATAATTTTATCGCGCTATTCTGTTCTGACTGTATTATGTTTTGTAAAAATTGTTCTTACTTGACATTTTTAAAATACTAGTCGCATTGTTCTTCTTTTTTCATGTCCTGATATGTTTTCTTCTCTTTTTTGTTGTACGTTTCTAACTGGCTGCATATGGACCATCGACATTCCAAGATACTAGTAGATAAAACACGAAGGGCTGGGGGGATGCTTTCGTTTCTCCCTCGTCCTCCTAGAGAGTCCTGTTTTATCTCTCCCGGATTCCTGAACGCCAACTCATCGCGCCTTATTGTGATGTTGATGTCACGTCTAGACCGTGCCGTGTCTACGCATTGATTCGCGTGAATTAAAAATTGGAACGTGCATTTTATGCACGTGCACTTCTGCCATTTTTCGATCTATAAGTGTAATTGGATAGAACAGAGCACTGAATGGAAACTGAAATGGAATTAATAGGTATATTAATAGAATGAATAGAAACTCAGTTATGGTCGTATATTATGAATTTATTATACAGGCTGGTTGGTAACTGGTGGTACAAGCGAAAAGGGGGTGATCCTACGCGAAAAAAGAAGTCGAAAATATAAAATAAAAATTTTTCGTTCGAGGCTTTGTTTTCGAGAAAATCGACTTTGAATTTTCGCTCGGTACGCGTGCGGTACGTTATAACGGATCTCACTGTAGATCGTTGTCTCGATGGAAAAATAAAAAAAAAAAAATTTTTATTCTATATTTTCGACTTTTTTTCGCGTATATTTCGTGTATATTGTGATATTTTGTGGTGTTTGGTATATCCATTGCTTATTTAATATTTACTACAAGATAGAATTTTTACATTTATAAATGACAGTATTCTGATATTTCCAGGAAAGTTAGAAAATTATTTCGGAGAATATCTAGTTAGTAAGGCTTAATTTGATATCTTGAGACGGTGCTAATTAAGAACCGCTATTCCCCGTCGGCGTTAAACTAGATTGGTAATCAAGCCTGGATACTTACCTGTGTTCACTAGTGATTCATGAGGCTAGTGACGTTTATCGGAGATCAAACACGAAACTTCTGATTAAGAATAAAAAGACTCAAACGAACAGGACGCTTCGAAGGTAATAATGAATAGTTATTAAAATCATACGAGTCGTGAGACAAGAAATGCGTAGTTTTCAAGGAAGAAAAATGTTCGACCTTCAGAGTTAAATTCTTCGCATCTTCTTTCTATGAAAAGTATCGCTTGCGTTGAAGCAATGGTAATCATCGATAAAATGGAATTATATTTGTGTTTGACGTCATCGATGAGATCCTTCAAACAATTTAGCTTCAGAAACTTTTCATGTCATGTGTGGTGCCTATGCATTTTCCACGAAACAGAATGAGTTTGTAACCTTTCCTTTTATCTTTATTTCTCTCTTGACACGTTTTTTTCAATCACGTTTCTTACAAATTTTGTATATCTTCTATCTTCTTTTGTAGAAGCTAGATATCTTTTAACTTTATTTTTGCAATATTGGGTATTTTTTTATTCTTTAAAGAAACATAAAGTTTTTTGATCTCTTCAACTATTATGAGCCAACCTTATATTAATGTTTATCAACATTTAATGTATACTCAAATACTTAGATGAATCATTCCTTAAGAGATTAATACTCTCTCTGTCAATTTTTAAATTTTACACCCTTTCATTTTTCCAGTAGTTCAAAGAATTTTCTATCTTCTCTTGTTCCAATCCTTTTCCAATCCTGTTCCAATTCCTTCTTGGCTCATTTATATTAAGCGATGGGGCGTCGATAAATCGTTAAGCGATTAACGTATCACCGCTAAGAGCGAGGGGAACGCGTTATCTCCGCTGGAAATGGAATTTCTCTCGCGGCCGGCGTGGTTCTTTTGTGGCTCTCGACTTAGACGATTTCGAGAGACCGGTTTCATCCGCAGGTATTCGCGAACCTGGCGGCCTTTCCCCTTCCAATCGTGGACGACCGCTAACGACATGGATGAGAATAAAACAGAGAGACAGAGGAAATACCAATACGTTCGAACGAGAAAGAATCGTAATTTATATGGAACCGGTCGTAGGTGGTACGTCTCATTAAAGCAGAGGAAATGATCGTGGATGAATGAACGGCGTCGTGTGGGTGGCTGCGATTGCCAGCGGACGGCTAGAACAAAAGTGAAACGTTCCACTTGTACTTGGTAGTATATATTGTTCCTTCAACGTTATTTGAAAAATTAAAGATTGTCAATATAAAAAAGATTATGTATTTATCCTAATATTTAGGAATATCCTAATATTTACTTACATTGCAAGTGATTAGAGATATGTAATCGTGTCAGCTGATGGAAAATCAAGTTAGCTGAATCAAGGTAAAGATCAGCCGAATTCGCAATAGTAATTGTGTGTGACACACAATCTGATTACTGAAAGTTATCCGATTCTGAACTTGGTGGTTTCCTTTGCTTTCTACGCGACGCAGATGCTTCCGATATGAATGAACTCCATTAAAAGTTTACGTTCTTCCACAGCAAATGCGTAGCTAATCAGAAACATTACATAATAATTAATTAAGTTTAATCAGATTGGTATACATGTTGATTGATATTTACATATTGATGCAAGGCTTCTCTATGTAACTTTATTGAAAAAATTCCACTAAAAAGAACTTGTCCATTGAATTTATTACCTGTGCGTTTAATCATGTTGTCGACCTTGGATTTTATTGTACCGTTTTATCTAGAGTTTTACGTGACTATGCAACGTCTTACATTTTTTGCACCAACTGCCCTAAGGTGATCCTTTAAAGCGGAGTATATATCATGATCACCATTCAACAGGAAAGAAAACAACGACGAAAAAAGAGTTGCAATAAGGCTGCAAGAAATTGTTCAAGGTAAACGTCAACTGTTGGGCATGACCGATTCCCCTTCTTCTTTCACCCTTTTTCTCGCTATGACAACTTCCTTCATCGAGCCTCCTTCTGAAACATGGTGGAGGACGTGAAAGTGAGGGGACAGTGGTGCTCAGATAGTTAAAAAAAAAAGTAAAATCGTTTCTCTGGTTTCAAAATCAAGACATGCGGCTCTCTTATACGTATAAGTAGAGGGAAGAGAGATATAAAGTATTATAAATAAAAAAGGTGTGTCATTATCTACTATATAACAGATATATCAAAAGAGTTAACAAACATCGAAACCCCCTAATTACTAAATTACTTAATACGTCGGTCCAGATCCGCAGCCTAAGAAAACACTATACTAAGCACTAGATTCAGCTACATATTTCTAATAAACAATATTTACTTATTAATAATATTATTATTTATAAATTATACTTATTTATAAATTATGCTTACTTATAATGAGCTAATAAGTTTATTAACTTATTATAAACAATTAGCCATGTCACTGAGAAACTTACTCAAAGTTCTCAATGCAAGAATTGATTGTAAAGTACTTGTAAATAAAAAAAAAATTATCTACTATAAATAGAGATTATGCTGTATATTTGTATAATATTGAGTTAAAATATATTATATTATATCAAGATATTTTAAAACAAGATTTAACAAATTTTTGAAATTTTGTCTAAAAAATATAAATAAAAAAGTCGTTGATCATTACATTTTTACTAATGTAATAACATTTTTATCCAGAAGTTTCTCTTCTAATCTTTCTAAAAATTCTATACGAGATATTTAATCTCTTTTCGTCATTTGAAAGATCAACTTTAAAAGATTGCGCTGTAGTTGTACTAGTTTAAAGCAATTACTATATAAAAAACAAATCTATAGTCTTTTGTTATTCGTTGTGCAAATCTCGTAAGCGGTCTTTGCACCGTTTAAGTCGCATGAAATTCGAAATGTTTTGTTGATGGAAGTGTCCCTCGCCAAGTAATCGTCATCTGCATCGTGATTCGTACGATTTGAGGTACGCTGACACCTGGTATGCCTCGACTTTGGTGAACACTTTGGTGGGGTCTCGGGAGCCTCGTCGAGACGCGCGAAACTGGAGACTTCAGTTGTCACTGCGACGCCAGTGGAACAACATTGTGTTGTGTAATTTTTTCTCGAGGAATCTAAATTGTTAAGTTATCCATACTGCTACTCACGCGTTGGTAGTTCCATAGAAAAACGATGTTTTTGTGTAAAAATAGAACTTTAATAAATTACCATCGGACTAGATTCAACAAGTGTTCTTCATTCAAGTGCTTCGTACAATTTTTAAGTAAAAAACCTTTTCATCCTCGGTAAACTTGCTTTTCTGATTAATAATTTCAAATATCTGATTAATTTAAAATGAAAGTGTATTTGAATATTTTCATTCTTTCTACTTTTTAATTATATTTTATTTATATTTATCATTGCTTAATAGTTTTTTCCTATGTAAAATTGAATCAATGGTGAGAAACAATAATCAGTGTTAAATTATATAACCGGACATTCAGTGAATACCAATTGTACATTTTATCTAAATTTGACTGATCAAGGACTCACACGTGCCGAATAATAAATCCTGCAAGGATCGATAGCTGTGGTATGGGAAGGAAATCAGTGGACATTTACTGTTCTCCAGAATCCTAGGTATTTATACTGGCAGTTTCTCTCTCGTTTCACTTTCCTCTGACGATGTTCGTTAATTCTGTAACAACGAATATATCGGATCCTGGTATATATTTATGTAACGATTTATGTTACGTTACTAAGACGTAGTAGCACGAGTATTCGCGCGTGCACATTAAGCCAGCAGCTGCGCGGATATCGTAAACAAGAAAGAAGACATTTGTCTTGTCTGATAACAGTGATACAATAAACGTATAAAACCGAAGGTCTCCATTCCGAAATATACTGGAATTTAATTACTTCGTAACAAAAAAGATTGATGTCATTCTCTTGTTCAGACAGACATAAAATAAACATGTATCTTCCTGAAAGACTGAAGACAGAAAAAGAGATATTTATGAGTAACATAAGCTTTGTATTATTGTGAAATATTCTCTTTTTTAAAAAAGAAGATATAAATGTTGTCTAAGATTTTAAAGTCCAAATAGAGTCGCACGAATAGATGACTTGTTGGCGAAGATATGCTTTTCATTCTATTGTATATTGTATGCGTACAAAGGCTCGAAGACAGGATCCTTCCGGTGATCTTGCCTCTTTTAAAGCTCATTTTGTATGAAAGACGTCGAACAATGGCGTGTAAAATAGGGCGACATCGCACTTTCAGGCCTCGATAAGAGTCGCACGTTCATGAACCCTGGGAATGGTTTGTAACCGGAGAATTTAATTAGAATAATCGTAGGTCGCACGTGCTGAACGTTTTCTCGCGCAAACTTACTGAATTCCCGCCTTTAAGTGTCTGGAATGCGTTGAATTATTTGCGAATCTTTGAACTTTTCCTCGTCAACTAGTGTCAGTCACTTTAGAATATTCTGTTGCATTAAAAAAGAAACATCTTAGGACATTAGCATTTTTATACGGTATGTATTTTTCCTTCACCTGGCACCAATCACCTATGGATATTTTATCTTATTAAAAAAAGCAACATCTGAATTGGTTTTTCATGTCTATGAATAATTAAGAGAAAAATGAAGAGAACTTTAAGAATAAGAAAAAAATATTACAAAATACATAGTATTATTGAGAAATTGTAATATCTATAGCATATGTATTGTATGTATATTAAAAAAGAAAGTATTGCAATTACATTCACTATCAATAAAATGTGTTGTACACAATATTATTCTTTACGTCTCTTCATTTATAAAATAATTACCTTTGTCTTTGTCCAATTAATTGTATAGTAATGTACATTCTAATATAATTCAATTCATTGATGACGACAATTATAATTTATTCTAATCATGAAATATACGTACGCGTATCAATTATGTATACAGTTGATCACATTTTCATGAGTGCAATTGCTAAATCTGATCCAAGTGCGGGCTTGCACTTTGATGTGATCTTAATCATGATAAGGACATTGAATTAACTGCTGTACAATTTATTTTGGTCTCCATTTCATACGTTCTGTTGTTCCATTCATTATGATTCTATCTAAAACACATAGAGTATTTAGCAACATGATGCCCTTAATATTTATAACATTGGAATATTTTGCTTAGAAATTCTGAGTAATTGTAATGATAATGTAAGTCAAGTCGATAAAACAGTTCGACTATTTAGTATAACGGAATCCATCTATTGCACATGTTAATATACATAATTACATTGCAGGGATTAAGTTGTCCCATTTGTTTAATGTAACATCACGTATGATCGCAATTCACGACTTTTCAATTATTCTTAAATATTCTGAATCAGTCGTATTTTTTGTTAGCATACAAATATGTTTGTTACAGAAATACGTTTAGTAATAATTTAGATATAATACTGATATAAGATTGGATAGTAAGTATAGATAATATACTAGAGATTAAATAACCTATAAGATTATTCTTAAAAAAATATGGTTTTAAAATGATAAATATTGTTCAGATGGCAATTAAAGAATTTACGTAGAAAATGAAGCTATTTTCCTTTGGAACGCGATTATGTAATCTTATGAATTTTCTATCCTTCTTATAGTTGGCAACACTACATTTTGGCAGGCATACGTTCATACATCCACGTAACGCACAAATAGATCGCGATGGGTTTATCTCATTCCCTATAATTAAGTACAGGAATGATCGAGCGCGTCACTTTTACAAAAAGACTGACAGGAACTCATGAATTTTACGATTACATGGCATTCTAAAAAAAGCAGCGGTATTATTATATCTAACTTAAATGCAGGAAATAACTGGAAATAAGAGATAGTAACTGCGTTCTAGTCTAGTCTTGTCTCATTATGCATTCTTTTGTTATGAGGTTTTTTAATCGGCGCTGGTTTCCTTTGAGATATACGACAAAAAAGAAAAAACAGGAAAATTACATATCATTAACCATTTTAGAAACTTCTAGAATGCAGTACAAACCGAATCGAGTGGAAATTTTTTCTATCCAAGTCTAGTATCATATGAAACAAAACATTTCAGTACTTATATCTGATAAAAATACATATTTGGACACTATATTAAGCTTTTATGTATAAATTCTATGCATTATATGAAACATTTGAAACAATCTGAAAATGTATGTAGAAGTTACACGCACTTGCTACAAACATATACATTCAGCAAAGAAGTGGTATACAGTATAAATAACCAGCTTAAACATATAATAAATGATAAAGATGGTTCCACTGAATATTGAGGTTTATTGATATAATAGATAATTTTCTGTTTAAATATTTTCGTAATCTCTGTGAAATGTATATTTGCACTAAATATCTTGTAGCTCTTAAGTATGGACGTACATTTTTAGATTTGTTTCAAACTTTACCAATATAATCATTATAGTCACATCTCATTAAAACGCTAATAAAATTGCAAAATTTTCATTATAATATACATAATATATTCATAAAAGATTTCTGCAAATGTTGAAATACTTTTGTGAACTACTGTCTATGTCGTACATATTTGCAAATGATTTAATTGAGTTGAAAGCAAAGATTTAAATATGATAATCATGCAATTTTCTAGGCGTTCGCAAATCTTCTAGAGTTCAGTAAACTCCTGGTCACGGTGACGTGACTGTGAGCGCCGCATAAAGGGGCTTAATGGAGAAATGACTTATTTCCAGCCGTAACCCGAACACCGTTCCGAGCATAGGTAGGTCACATCATTGTACAGAGTCCCAACGCGCCACGGTTTCATTGCGTCGCGTACCATATTGCGCAACATCGGTCGGTATCTATTAACTTCAGATCTGGTATCGTGAAAGTAAAGCGCCGCTCACAGTCGTCTAATAGAAGATCCAGGTAGTACTATTGTATTATAATATAATGTTGTATTATAGTTAGATAATTAATAACGAACCTCTGTGATATAACTGACCATCACAAACATTGACGGAACATTTGACTTCAATTTTTGCGACTAACTTTTTATTTAAATTCTGAATATCAATAATTCAGAGTCTTATTTAGAGATACTTCTCAGATACTCATTTAGAAAGAAAATATGTATTTTTATTCTATAAAGAAAATTGAATTCAGAAATTGAATTCAGAAAACTGATCTTATACGAACTATAAAAATTTGTGTTACTTTGGTAAGAAACTTTATATATGAATTATATTTATACATATATTAATAGAGCACATATATGAAATAGAATCATAAATACTACGTTTCTATATTTACAGTCTTCTCAGCTACATACATACTTACTATTAAACGAAGAAAGTATTTGTGCTGATAATACATACTTTCTAACAGGATCTCATAACGTTGTAGCTTACTTCTGTAGAATTTTCTATATTTGTGACACATTCATTTGAAACTCACCTGTTGCATATTACGAAACATAGCTTCGCAATAGCAAGTTTTGTATTCGCTATGTACCACTTAGGTTATAACGCACGTGGTCCACGAAACGGGTATTTAATTGACTGTGCTTCTTGTCCCACGAGGTCAGGGCAATCGAATCAACGACGATGAACGATGCTCGTAGTTCCCACGGGAAAAAGTTACGTTTTCTTTTAAGTACGTTCCGAGGGTCTGCAAAGGGACCAGTTCATTCCTCCTGAGGAAACATTTCACGTGCAACGAGGTGTGACGTTTCATTATATTGTAATTTCAAATGATTCATCAGTCTGAAAAGATTACCTGACTTTGTTGACTTTTTTAGTATACGAATCATAACACATAAAATATATAAAAATTGTTTACATACATAGATAAAACTTTATATAAATTATTTTTACCACTTTCTTTTTATATTCATAAAAGTCAGTCATAAGTTGATAAATAGCTAGATACGCTACTGTATAATCATTCCAAATTGTAGAATATGCGACCAATCAAATTAATCATGTTCTTTCATCCTAGTTTGAAAGTTCGCCTGCTTAATGCACTTTCAATTATGTTCGACAAAAGCACTAGGAGTACCAAACTAGGCTAAATAACTGTTATTAAACTTTTTATTTCCGTAATTACTAAAAACATGTAAGTGTTTTTATAAGTGTAAGTATATTTATTAATTTTTATCATATCGGTTTCATTGTAATTACTTCTATATAATATATGTATTTATGTGTGTACATCAAATCGGCAGTTCTGTGTTAATAATTAAATACGCTACGTTACGCGCACTTTTCTCAAGTAATTGACACAAACCGATTGAATCAGAAAACGATACGTATATTCCCAGACTGACGATTTCTCTTTATTTTTCAGACGTTTACGGGGTGACGGATAGCGGGCGCACGTGACTGGTCACGTGGATAGAACATCAGAGAAATCGAGGAACGCTGATCGTGGTGATTCTACGACTGTTTTCCTTCGTTTAAACCCAGATAGAGAATTCGACGCGTGACTTACGATACATCAAAGGAGATTAAGAGAAATTTCTCCTTGATCCATCGTCCGCAAATCAGCCGTTGTGATTCATACAATGATTGTCTAAGGTGCAGGTGTGTTTGCGGGAAGTGGAAGATTTGCGGTTTGAAGATCAAAGAGGTGTAATTTCTCTGCCCGTCGCAAGGGGAAACCTTAATATGAGCTGACACGACCGTTCAGGTACAAATATTAACTTATTAAACAGATCGTCCTTTAATAAAAAATTTTATAATTAAAATGAAAAATCTTTCAATTTAATTTCGACCGAAATTTGGACAAATGTACTAAAAATAGTGAATCTATAAATAAATAAATTATTATATCCATGAAATTCGGCGTGTAAGGAGTTAACTCTTCTTCTCCGGACTTTAAAACAATTTAAATTATTTCGTTAAAAATTAAACACTTAGTAAAATTTGAAATCTGAAATTTGTAACTTTAAATTTCGATTTGCTTATTTGAATTTAAAATTCTGATTGTGTAATAAGTAACGTCTAAATAATGAATTTGCATTGTTCTATTTTAGTTGGAGACAGCATAGGTATCTTTGACGAGGTCACGAAGAAAATCTTATCACGCTTCATCGTAACTTCATAGCCGCCGGAAGTGGTAAGAAGAGGAAGAATCGCAGGATGCCTGGCGAGGTGCGCGCGCAACCCTTAGACCCAACTATGTACGGTGGTAGCATAATGCAGCCCGACGAGGAGATTCAGTACGCGCCAAGGAGTCGTCCTGTTAGCTTTTACGATAATTTTAAGGTGAGCCCTAGTACCATACCACGTGTTACTGTCTATGTTTATATCTTGATAGACAGTCAGTGTTGAGAATCCATTACAAGACTAATAATATCCATCATAATGGACAACGATATTTAATACTTAAGTATCATCAACTAAAGAGTACTTAAATAAAAATTAATTTTTATGTTAATATCTCCATATAAATGTTAATCGACTTTTCTTCTTACATTTATTTATGTTATTTAACTAATTTTTCAGACTGAATACTAATTAATTATCTTATTTTATACATAAGATAGAGAGTGGTGTGTGGTTGATCTTCTTATGAGATAATATATGTTTGTGGATCACTTACTGATCAAGTGCGTTCAATTAATTTAGACTTGGCTCAATGAGCAGTCTATAGTCTGACCACAAATTTGGTTAAACGAAAAATGAGAGTGAAATAAACCGCAACGCATGATGTATGAGAATTATCGACTCGTATATACATAAGTAAAAGTACACGATGTTTATGTGAGAATATGTTTGATCAACAACATCAATTTTACATAAATTACAGTAAATATATAAAATGAATTGCTGTAATTCGATCGTATAATTGGAAATTTAAATCGTTAAAATTAAATTGTTTTTTTTTTGTAGTATAAGTCCATGTATTTGATTATATGTTGTTGGTATAAAAATTACATATTGTTATATAGATTCTCTATGTCGTTTAATTGAAATGTGATCAATTCATAATAATCTCTGCATTTTCTTATTTCGCTGTTCAGGACGTGCCAATGGTGGCACCTTGCGTGACTTCCGCTCTAAGCGCCGACAATTTGAATCAGGTTCGTGACAACGGTATTAGCTCGTCGATGGCCACGGCCAATAACAACAATAACAACAATCGAGTGAGTAGCGCAGTCAGTGCTGGTAACGTGTCGAAGATCCAGAACGCCAAGGTCACCGGTAAGTTTAGTGAACTTATCATTCTTTTTTCTACTTAATTATTTGGAAACGGTTATTCATTATCAATTCAGATATAAGATATATGTACAATAACAAAAGAAAAATAAAATAAGTACATACTATTAAATGATGTTTTAATATTCTTCGTTATCTTCTCCACTCTTGAGTGTTAATTAAGATAACCGGAGGGATTTTTAACTTTAGACGGAATTGGATATGCCTCCACTCTCCCTAGGAAAGTTATTTGACTGTAAATAGAACGGTCACGAGTGAAATTCGGTCGGACACTTTGCTGGCACTAGGTATTCGAGCAAACTTTCTCGAATTTCATTTTATTCGTGCATCAGACAACGTCGTAGTAAAACAAAGCCGGGCAGAAAATCTTGCGCGCTTTCTAACCATACCATCTTGATAATATATATGATTCTAATAAAAAATTGAAAAAGAATCAATTTTTTTAAATTCAAATGAATTATAATCTAATTAAATTGGAAGAAATCTAATAAATTATAATTTTGCTTTTCTCGTGTAATGGTCGCAATTTACCGTGGCAGGTGCAGTATCGACAGGGAATATTGGGAAAATCTATCGGTTAGAAAAGGAAAAAGAGTTGGGTCGCGCCCCGTCAATGGCCAATTGTTTGTCAACCACGGTTCCCGTTAACCTGGCAGCCGCTCAAATTGCTGGTCGGCACACGCCCACGAGGAATTCCCTCAGGCACAGCAGAATGATCGTATTGCATCGCAGTGGTCATCGTAAGTACACAATCACTTTCTTTATTTAATTCATAAATCTCTACTTGTTAATTTCTTCCGTTGTTCTTTTATATTTCCATGAAATTTGTCTACTTATCTCCTATCAACATAGATAAAAATATAATCCTCTCTAAGAATTGACTTTCTAAAAAAGATATAGAATTAAGATAATTCAAATAATAAAAGAATTATTTTACTTTGTTAGTTTTGTAAAATATTTACCAAATAACAGTGTACCTTTTGTTAAATTTAATTTGTCATTAATTGGAGGCTAAGATACCATTGTTTAATCATATCCTCCTGTTGTTCTTAGGATGTTGCTTGGTTTTGCTATTATTATTTTCTGCTATTTAAAATCAAATACAAAAATTAAACATTCTAAGAAATGTAAACTTCAACTTAATCGATTCCTGCTTTATCATCATTATAACAAAGAACATTCAATTTTTTATGTGTATAAAAATATGGTGATATATTTTAAAATAGAGTGCAAAAGTTTATAAACCTGATAAAAATTCAGGTATGTGTAGTAAAACATGTGCAACAGAGTTCATGTTTAATTCATTTGTTTAAAATGTACCTTAAGAACTTACACTGCGTCTTATTGGTTTATCATACACCGTATGATTCACACTATTAGATATCCTAGCAGGTTGTACTTTCTCTGCTGACTAATTTCACAAAAAGTTAAAAAACCTTGGATGTATTTAAGCCCATGTCTATTAACACGCAGGATATCTCATATCGGATCTCTGGAAATTATTATTGAAGGTATTAGGAAGAGATTAGATACTTCGAAATTGTACCTAGAAGGTTGTATATAGTAACAGATTCTTGAAATTCCCATATCTCCCTTTACCATATTAATAATAAGTAAAATATCCTAATGTATAAAACCTGCTAGAAGAAAAACTTTCTCTTAGGAATTCTATACATTATGTTAATTATAGATACACGTCTCTTACGAAAATTCTTGACAGAGAAATGTTTTTGTGAGCAAATATTTAGTAATAAGATGACTTTACTATTTTTGCTTTCATGTTGAATAACACAGACGTAACGCTTGTTGATTAACGAAATCAGAGATCAGAACAGGTATGATACATGCGAACGAGGCTCGAATGTCACTGAGCGGCCTTTCACGGTGCAATAAACATTCTTTCGAAGGAAGGCGGAAAGCACAATATTGCTACAAACAATTAATAATTTATATCACGAGCGACGCATTCCCTTCAGGTTTCCTTTTTATGAAATCTAATACTCTAGGATTTTAAATTTAAATTTGTAGAATCTTTCGAAATTTAAGTTCTCCGAAGTTTGATTACGTTTAAACTCGTTGTATCTTATTGCATTTAGTTTTCTTCATCGATCCTTTCTCGTCGGATTCTGTATAATGTAATACCTATCTCAAAAGTTGTTTCTCCTAAGACATAACTTGTTAAATTATCACTTCTGTTAAAGAAAAGATTGGACGTCAATCGTTACACGTATACAGCCAGGTAATCATCATAACGCAAATTGGTCCAGAACAAGTCAATCTCTCTTGAGAGCCTTTCCAATGATGAAGACGCTAGTTGCGTGACTATGGCAATTTCATCCTGCATTTGTGACGACACAGTCACAATAAAACAGTGATATCGAGGTTGCTGCCAAGATAGTAAAAAAAATTATGGTTAAACCCTCAAGGTATAGAAAAGTCTTGACATGTTCTTCTTTTTCTTCCATAACAAACATGTTCCGATTTTTATAATCATGTTGTCCAATTTAATATTTCTTGTTGTTTTCATCTTGTTGTAAGCAGTTGTTTTCATCTTGTATAATATGATGTACAAATTTTGCTAAAATTGTTTCATTGAAAGCAGGTGAAACGAAGAGGTTAAGACTTTTTGGTCCGCTGGTTGCCGTGGCCGCTTTAAAGTGGTTACACATGCTTCTCTGTGAATAGCGGAAGTAGCAAGCCGGAAATATATCATGTGATCTTTTTTGAAGTGCATTCGTTCACGGGTTAGCGTGTACGAACTTTGGGTGTAACTCTAATCGCTTCTTCCGCTTTGCGTTTTATTTGTTCCTATACTAAATTTTTCAACAGCTGATTCATAGTCTATTCGTGTACATATGTGTAATCGAATTCAAAATATTTCACAAAAAATTTCCCGAATATCGTGATTCTTGCACAACTTCTATTAGCCAATTCCTGAGTTATAGGTTTATATAACTTAAGTAATATGATACTTTCAAAAAGAATAATATTGCGATGTTATGTCAGTTTAGCCAGGAATTTCTTGTTTTGCATTGGAACAAAATGCACAAACAACCGATACAATATTTGGATCCTTCATGTACAACGATGAAAGCCGAAGTCCAATATTTTAATGCAGATTTTGAGGAAATAAATATTGATACACAAGATATTTTGACTTGTTTTCGGTGTGTTGATTTGCTTAATTAAATTAACACGCTTCTGGAAAGGAGCGTTTTTTCCTCTTTGAAGTGTTACGTAAATAGCACGTGTGTCTTGCGAGGGTTTAAACGGATGAAATGTGAGCATTACTCGGTTTGGTTTTCTCCCATGTGGTAAAACTTGCGTTTGGTTCATCCCCATTCGTTGAATTCTATTTTCAGATGCAATAGGCAGAGGGTACTAAAAAAAAAGAAAAAAGAGGTCGATAAAAATTTCAGCAAAAAGAAATTTAGAATAGTAGAATTTTTCCTACTTCTAAAGAAGTGTTGATTTTTAACATTATAGTTTAATAATGAATGATATTAAGTTTATCATATTCATTATGAGTGCGTTGTAACGATAAAGCAAATGAGTCACGAAGCTTGACTGGAAGGTCAGATATCAAAACACGCGTATCTAAATGTTAACCTACATCGCTGCATGTTTTTAGTGATAATATACTGTGCAGCTGAACTATTCTTTTACCAATTGCAATTTTATATATTAATGCACGTCTATTGGTTATTATTACATTGCTACATTATCAATGTGAATCATATATCTATTCTCCATTTTTGTTAAGTTTACGTCAGTTGCGCCTGATTATAACCAAACTTTACGTGTCATACAGAATACTTGTTATCCTGCAAAGGAATATTTGTTTGGAAATTAATGTCACTCAATGTGAATAGACCTAAATAATTAAATATGATATATATCTGTGATTTTCAATATTAAAATCACAGACATGTGATATGTCGTATAAAAAGTTACTGAATCTGTCGTGATTATGAAGTGAACGTACACGATCGCGTAATGTACAGTGATATCTGAGTTGATTAAGGATTTTCAAGAGATCGGAAGTATCGTGGGCGATGGTAGTTCTCTACAATGTAGTTACACAATTACCGTGTTTCTTATTACGCAAGTTGAACACTCGAGTCATTATTCATGTATCGAGGTCACCGGATAATGGAAACGTACCACCCAGTACGTTTCCCCACTTGCGTTGTATACTACAATTTTTGGCTTGTCAAAGTCATTTCGAAGATGATGGTTCGAATAGTTTAGCTAGTTATCCTTACCTATACACTGTATTATCGCTGCACATGCTAGTACATTCATTTTCATATAGATGTCTCACTATAAAATCTCAAGTGTATCATAAGTATAATTATTTTAATTCAGTTAGTATTAGTATAAGAATGCAAGGCTATATTTTCATGTTAACGGAATTTCTATAAGTTTTTTGTAAAGTCCAGCATAGTTTTTGTTCGACCCCTGCAGACGATATTCTGCAGGAGAATCCTCTTCTCTTATAATGAGCATATATACACATACACATGCAGCAAATACAAACATAAGATCCGCATACAATGGGAACGACACGCATTCGAGTCTTGCATTCTTACACCGTGTGAATCGTTCCGCGAATGAAAAAGCGATAGCGTGCTTGCATCCGGCACAAATCACTTTTTTGTCATGGAAAATTTTAAATACGAAACATGACACATTTCACTTACATTCCATTATATCCATTATATAAAGAAGTTTCTTCTTTACTTAAATTTTATTAAAACATGTTTCTTACTCGCACTAAGTAATTTTTTAATTTCTATATAATAAATTTTCGGGTTATTTACATATTTGATCATATATATAATAATCACAGTAGTCGTGACTCGTTATTTGAAAATGTAACACATATCTACAATATTCATACACAGTGATGGACAGCAGAAAGTTAAAAATTGATATACTATGAATTTCATATAAAAATTTGTTTACCATATAAGTAATAATCGTCTATTTTATGATATATATATAATATTTATCGGTTGTTATTATTAAATATAAATCCATTTTGTAAAATTATGGTGTCTTTTTATATTCCTTATTTCATAAACTTTCTCTTGTCCGTTATTATATATTAAAGTTTTTTATAGTATGTGTTCAAATACTTTTGCGAGCCACTATAAATCCGATTGGAGACTAGTCCCAAGGGAGATTAATTTTTCTCTTCTTCTATTCTTGTCTGTATATACGTCTGGTACAGTTAGGACTCGTTCTATATGCAAGCCTCGTGCAAAAGAGACCCCTTATCGATTGTAGCGCGACGAATGAGAATGCGGTGTCGCTTTTTGCCCCGTCGTAAACTTCGTATATTCCTTTTCTCGCCATACGCGTTATTCGTTGGTCATCGATCTTCAGCCACCCATTAATATTCTTCGGGTGTCAACTAATATCCTGCAAGAAAAGAGTGAAAGAATTTTCTTTTATAAGGAGCATTCTACGCAGTGTAAAGCCCAATCTTCTACTTTTCTGAGCTTGTACCCGTTCTATCCCGTAATACAGTACAACCATTATAATTTTAAATCTTACCGCTTACAATACTGTGAGATTTCTTTAAATTATTCAAAATAAATTCTTTCTCTTGCAGATACGTTTTGCAACTCTTCAAAAATTACGTGATCGAAGGTGATGTTTCCCGCCCCTTTTCAAAATCTCCGTGTTTCATATGTGAATGAGATTTACTCATGGTATTGTAGGGTGCAGTATATCATTATCGACTGTCAGTCAGGCAACGAGGGTTTAAGACGCGTTCGCTATTCTTCGTGCGAAGAGCTTGCAGTGTTCTCTTTCCTGGACATGGGAAACTCAGCTGGGTATGCAGCCATACAGAATTATTTCTGGAGATTATTTCCCCCCTTTTCCAACCGAAGCTTTTCCAAAATCCTTCCAGGCCATTATGAGTTCTTCGATTCTACCAATATGGGTACTGAATACGTTAACAATGAATACAGAAGAATTATATATAAAAATAACAATCAAATCTTTTAACCTATTCTTCTAGCTAGACTGTGAATGTTTATGTAGATGAACTTAAGCAGAGATTTGTTTCATTTTATACACGTTTAATCATGTGCTTCGTGCTCCTCTGTATCTTTTTTAAATTTCTCATAAATGCATAAACATATATAGCCTACCGATAAAAATGTTCTTATAGTATCAATTACATAGTAATATTGCGACAATACAAATTTTTTCCATTCAATAGGAAAAGCATATTTTATTATATCTGCCATTACGTAAGATAATCTTAGTGCCTACGTTATAAATGAAATATCGTTAATTCCAGATTTCTTTGATCGTACCTGTCACCGATTTCGCAAGACCGCTAATGGAATCACGACCTATCGCCATCAACATTAGCACAAGTCAGCATGACGGTGGGCGAGAGCGTTAACGCGTTACTTTTCTTTTTTCTTTTTCTTTCCTCTACCTTTGAATTACCGTTGCAAACGGTGCACAAAGAATTCTGGTGGGCGAGTTTCCTGACGGCGAAGTTTGACATCGCATCGGCAAGGACGGCACACGTTCGATCGTTCGGTTGAGATACCTTGTAAGGAGGGACAGCGAGGTCGTTTCGTTCGGAAACTCTCCTTTCTTTCGGCCCTACATTCGTTTCTCAGAATCTGTCACGTCGTATCGACCGTCGATCGCTATGGGAAAATGTGTGTCGTGAGCTGCGAGAAAAACACCAGGAGATAGCACCGTACGTGCCCCTGTGTAAAAAGCGGCATGACTAGCTTCAAAGAAATCTTCCTCTCGCTCATATGTATATAGGTTATGGCTCATATTGAAGTCCAAGTCTTGCACTTCTCATTGATAAACATCAGTGTCATCACACGACTGCGGCTTTTTATGTATTTATAATAGCGATTTTCAACCGGTCATGGGAATTTTTTAAATATGCAATATCTGACTATATAGTCATTTTTTCCCCTTAGATTATCAAATAAGAAATGACAATATCCGAGATAACAATAACCATCTGATGTGAATGCCCTATTTTGAACCAAATATGTATGATATATTCTTTTGTTTTGGTGTGACATTGAATTTCAGTAATTAGGCGAAGAATATTGAAAATCGCTGATCTATAGAAAAAGGGTGCAAAAATACAAAAATGTGCATAATACGCAGAAATGTATAAAATATCCAAGAAGCAAATCCCTATCTATGCCCTGCATATACTCTTCTAGTTATTTTCATAAGAATATGAATTTGCATAAATATCCGCAAGCTAGTCATCACATCAGTATCATCATTTTGTTATTAATGTTTTCATCGGATTATGTACGAACGTATCGGTCATTGCATAATAGATAGAATGAAATCAATGTTTTGTTCGTATACGAAGTAGGTAGGATGGATAGAGGTATGTTATGTAATTGGATAGGTAACCGAATGGTATTAGCGATCACATCTTTTAACTACTCGTTAAGTGAGTTGGCATATAGATTAAACGTCTCACCTGTTGATAAGGTTTTATTTTTTGTTGTTTATCATTAGGTCCTTAAACGAGTTTAACTTCATTTTATCTTCTTAACTAATTCAATCCATGTATATATTTGTTTACTATGTACTTTACTCAATTTGAAAAAATGTGTGATGAAAGGACTGATCGCCGCGATAATAAAATATATAATAAAAATACAAATATTTAGTAATAGAACAAAATGTTTTAAATATTTCTTCTTTTTCAGGACCTCAAAAATTCCTACCGCCGTTGGTTTATCACTGGCGGTTAGGACGGTGTTTAGCAGTGTTGCAAGTGATTCTCGGTATCGCGATAACTTCGTTGTCATTATGGTTATTACTTTGGGCACCTCATCTACCTGTGACGGATAATCCCTATTGGAGTGGAATGCCGGTGAGTATCCAATCAATGATAGTCTTTGACCGTCTTCTTGGAAAACATCGTTTTCTGAAACACCGTTAATTCTTTCCTTTCTTCATTTGCAGTTGTTACTTTCTGGTAGCTTCGGTATTTGCTTGCTGTGCTGTTTCAAAAAGGAATACCCTGTCATGAGTCCTGGATTGTGTCTCACTTTGATCAAGGTGATTGTTCCTCATTTTAGAATACATGAATTATTATTTTCAAACGAAGTACTTTGTATTCTATGGAATTTTTTAAATGTCTAAAGACTAATTAACAAAATTTATTTAATGGTACATAAATTATAGCCTTCCTTGTAATTTAGATTTTAAATTCAGTCATCTTAAAGTAATCAAATGAAATATCTATTTTTTTCTTTTTTGTTAGTACCGAAGTTTGAGTCACATTTTTTATTCAACATAGTTTATTGCTTTATTATTTACGTATTTCCACTAATATCTTTTCTTTTTCTTAAACAGATAATCAGCGTGCTACTGGCAACTCTAGCAACAGTGACCTGTTCCATCGCGTGTGTATTCTCTGCGATACACCTGGCGCGTTTAATGGGCCTGGAATGCAACCCAGCGCGGGTATTAAACGCTACCTGCGTGTGCAGGCCTCGTGGGAATACGTCGAACTTCACCGAATCGGCAGTTAGATACATGGATTTGAATTGTCCCGAAGTAGAGAGTATTTTGATCATTCTTCTCATCTTTTCCACCACTTGCAATGCCCTTGGAGCCCTAGTATCGGGCTGGTATACCTACCTACATTGGAGTACCAGACACAAAAGGCCAAAATACATGCAAGTGAGAACCACTCCGATCAGTGGGAACAACTTCCTCAGCAGCAGGCCAATATACAATCCAAATTTGAACGAACGATGACAGTCTTCACATGATACTGACGAAGAAACATCGTATCTTCGTTATTCATCATTAACGATGGATGATGGAGTATTCTAAAGGTGTTTCGAAGTTAGCAATGACAGTTTCTCCCGGAAATTTAGCAGTGAATGTTACATAAACAACACTAACGGTGATTTTACTTAAAAAAACTCGTTGGAAGAGTTCTTTTTATATATGTGTTTTAATACGACAACGGACTAATAACGAAATACTTCTGTTTATATTGAGGATACATACCAAAAGTAACACGTTGAAATACGTGTGAGCTAGTCTTGGATAATAAAATAGATCTACAAGTGGTTCTTAAGCGAAAGTTTGTAATACAGTATGTATAAACTTAGGGAACATTAGAATAAGTGGTAAGAAATTATATTTATAATTGATTAAAGTGGTATTTAATAGATAAAAGTCAAGAAGACTAGGATAATGATCGCGTAATTGAATCTACTAATTATTTAAAAACCTTCTTAATGTGTTCTTAATATTTATTACACCATAACTAAGGAGTACATTGCTAAGTAGATAGTAATTGGTATGTTTTTAAAAAGGATGAACGTAATTTGTTGTTAACATGTCAAGTCATGTAATGCAACTTTTGATAATTCATCGATAATGTAGAAAAACTTCATAGGTTATAATATCTGAACTAAAACACATTCTCTTTTACTAAAGAATAACATACTTGAGTAGTCTCATATTATTATTATAAGGTTAATTAAAAGGAAACAAGTTCTTTTCGATGGTAGAAACGTATTCAGAAAGAAATCGAGTCAGAACTTGATTCCTGCAAAGTAATTTTCACGATTAATTTACGCGTGGATCGTCAGTATTTTAGGTGTATTATAGTAAAGAAAGCAAGTGAATGTATCGCGCGCGCGCGTGTTTGTGTGTGTGTGTGCGTTCGTTCATTCGTACGTATACCGTGTTTGTAATGTGAGCAAGAAGTAAATTAGGAGCATGAGTGAAACGCTTTTTAATTTCTATACTTGTATATCATCGATTTTATACCTCATCGCTATTCCTGTCTTTAAGGAATGAATTTTAAAACTGCATCTATAAATTATGTCATAACGTATGCACATTGGTAGAAAATCAATTTATCAAATTTTAATAGAAACGGATGAATAAATCAGTTCAGTAACAAAACATCTGGCTGGATAAAATTGACATGTTTGTATCTTAATCTCCTGCTTTTTAGTTTTTTATTTAGTTAGTTTTATGTACATTGTGATCTTTTCTAGAAGCTGATCAAGAATGACACTCTGACTTCCCCTCCACCTTGTTTATGCGAATCTCTGGTATTACAGCACAGTCACTGAATTGTGATTCCCAAGAATCGTGGAAAACTTTCATCAATCTGCTTGTAACATTTTAATGACTAACAATATATTTATTATCAATATCTATTGAGTAGATATTGGACATCTAAGCAATTTAATTAAACAATTTTATAAAGAAATAATCAAAATTTAATGGAATTTCCTGTAACTTTAAGTTCGGTATTACCTGGTATTAATTGTTCCTTTTTCATTGTAACTGCTTTCAGAAATTGTATGTTGCGTCTAATCGTGTGATATCGTATCCTGTTCCATATCTGTTAACTCTACCACTTCCGAAGCTGAACGTTTCCTTTCATCGAAGACCATTCCTGCAACTTCTGGTTTATCTATAACTTCATTAACAGTACAATAATAATTACTTCATTAATTATCAAATTTCGCCGTTTACCTTTTGCAGTTCTTGTTTTTGCCGATCTCTTAGATAAAGCTGGTAACATTCTTTTCCATTTCAGAAAGGACGAGTCAGACAGTTCTTCTCTTTTCTTCACTATTTTAAATAATTTCCGTCGTTCCTCAGTACGTTCATGACGCAGTTGTATCTGAGCAAAGTGAATAATCAATAAATTATCAAACTTTTACAATAACTAAATGAATAGATGCACCGACAATGAAAAAACAGATGTATACTTTTTTAGTTGAACTAAGACAGATTAATTAAAATTCTAATTTGATAAGTTCATAATCAGGATATTTCTATCTAGTAAATAATTTTAATTTTTCCATTCGGGAATTATAATTTGATAAGTACCTTTAAATCATCATTAGCTTCTCTTAAAGAGTTAGTTAATGAGACCATGTAATAAATAATGAGTACCATAAGAACAATTAGTGGAATTATTATGCCAGGTGAAGTAATGTAATCAAGGCACCTGAAAATGTTATGAAACAAAAAAATGGTAAATAAATGTCAGTAAATATGAGATATTCTTTCTTAGTTCCTTTTTCAAATTTATATTTTTTTTTAAATGAAATATACTACAATACTTGTTAATTGGATCAGGAAGAGATTTAGTGAGCTGTTTAGTTGCTAACTGGTAAATTTTCTCGTAACCAGAGAATGGACCACAATCCCAGGATGGTTTAACCCAAACTATGGCATAGCCAACAGGTAGAATATATAAACATAACATGGCTAACAACAGAGCATAGTAAAAGTTATTGGACCTGCAAAAATTAATACTTTAGAATAAATGGAATTAATAGATGCTAAAAATAAAGAGAACAATTTTTTAAATACCTAGAGGCTCGAAAAACTACTTCATGCGGCACATTACAGGTAAGAACAGCCCAGGATCTTAAATACATAAGAATTCCAAGTTTTAGAAGATTCAGGGCTGTTAATCCTGGGCTGAAGAACATCCCCATCCAAATAATTCCTTGATTATTTACCAAATGAAGTATATTTTCAGCAATCTTGAAATCACCATACTGAGGAAATTGCTTTTCTAGGTCCCAACACCAACAATTATTCATGTATCGTACAAAAACTGCACGGAAGAAATCTATACTAAGCGTGGTCACAATGCTGAGTATCTGTGATAAATAAACAAAGTATTAAAAAATATTTAAAGTGAAGAACAAACATTGAAAAATATTAAAAATTAAATTCACCAAGTCCATGACGGTGAGCTTAGCAAGTTCTTGACCAAACATCGTTTCCCAGCACAAACGACGAGGCTTTTTCCGAGCTTTTACGTCTAACGGATTCGGTGAAGAGGCTAGTAGAAGAAATATTCAAGTATAAAAAATATAAGTTAAAGATTAAACGGTAATATTTTTAAAAGTATAGTATACAAATTATACTTTGTTTATACTTGTATTCTGTGTAGTTGTTGTGCAAATCTTCTCAAAACATTTTGTGACGTAATCCTTCTCTGAGAGAGGTATTACACCTTCACGCAACGTTGTCGAGGAACGATCGATAGTGGAAATTTTATTAGTATTTTCTGTACTAGATTCTCTATTAAATGTAATCGTGTTCATCGAATGTTCAGTGTTTGTATTCAATGTTGTAATTACAGAATACTCAGATGTATCATTTATTTGTGATGACATAGATGATAATGTGATAAATTCTTTTGTCTTCGTGGGAAAAGTTTCATTGTAATCTTCAGTAATGATACTAGAAATAGTATTTGTACTTGTACTTATATTATAATCGCTTTCTTCAATTGTTTCGCTATAAGCTGTAGATTCGTTGAAGAAAATACTAGTCATAGAAGAACTATCAGTTTCTTCAGTAAAATTTGTAAAAGAAATTTCTGTGAGATTTTCGAAGATAGTGAAAATGGTGGTTGCTTCAAATATATCATTTTGTTCAAACATTTGCGTTGTAAACTCTGTCTCTTCAGTTATATCTTTAGTGGAAATGGATGCAGATTTGTTCAGTTCGTTTGATGTAATATCGTCGTAATTATCGTATGTATAATCCAGAGGAGGATAATCTCCGACATTGTATATTTCTTCCAGGGATTTTTCATCGAGTATCGGGTTCAGATACAGACTCGCGGGTATGAATGAAAACGGTGGCAGTGCTAAATTATTCAATATAAAGAAATTGTTAATGTATATTTATGTGACGACTAAACGAATTAAGACAGAAGAAGGCAAAAGAAGAAATATAGAGACTAGAAGATTCTGTCCATTAATGTAATTGCAGTCGAGCTCCTTTGTCTAGAATAAAAAATTATGTAAAATATTAATGATGATAAAGACATACTCGTTTCAGGAAGTTCACTTCTATACTGCATTGCAGTGACATTGTTTGCCAAGATTAAACTTAAGGATGCTAATGTCACGACCTGTTGTGATTTCTTCATACTATCATCACATTCGATAGATATGTATTTGCAATTCTTAATTGTTTCCTGAACATATTCTAAATCTTGCTTCTGTAACATCAACAAACTAGATGTCTTCTTGAACCTCATAATTCAATAAACATATCATTATATAGATACAGTTCACTTGCCATTGAATGGATCTTCTCAAACAATGCGAATATTAGTGAATAAAAATTCAATAAATTGAGAACCATTATTCTGTGAAAAGTCAATTCAATCATCAAATTAATAATTATAAAATTTGAAATTAAGATTCCTAATGGATGTGTCAGAGAAAAATTGTTTATAATACACACCGTGCAAGCTGCAAACGCAGCTGTTTCCTAGGATGATAGCTCTCCAGTAGTCCCAATATCTCAAAGAACGACGGGAACACGTATGTGATCAAGGACAGTACGACCGTAATTTCGTTTTGACGCCACCAATTGGTCTGTTCGAGTTCCTCAGAACTTCGTACGACCACTTTTACCACGGCATACGCTGACAATCCGAATAATGCAATCACAGATGTGTTTACGAAGATCCTCATTGATATAATTCTCCAACTAAAATTTTCCAAAGCATTAAATTTATGAGGCAAAATAATACAATTACAGGGATCCACTAATTTAATAGAAGTGAAAATAAATATAAGTAAAGAAATTATTTGCATTAATATTGCAGGTATTTGCAAATGTAAACTAGAATAAGTTTTATAAAAATGTAAATAATATAGAAAATGATATGTATAATGGAAGAATAATTTTATTCTTAATAATAGTGATTTTATAAAAAAGAAGATATTGAAAAATGATAAAGCAGTAGATATTTCTTCGAGTAATCTTACTTCCTTTCATCTTTTTCTTTTTCAGCTTCCTCTAACAAAGCTTCTTTAAATCCAAGAACGATGCTCGCCGTCCTATTGTGTGCAGTTTCAGTATTCCCAATCATGAAGTCCCATCCAGTGAATAACTTCCAAGAAAACACGCACTCGTCGTCTTTCTCCGTGAGTTTGCTCAATCGTGAATTTTTTGCCATTCTAAGAAAACCGTCAATATAACTTTTTGTAGAGAATTAACAATTTGATTTGTAGATAGCCGTACTTGCGTAATATGGCGACGAAACTGTAGATATAAATGACCAAATTGGTGACGAAATAAGCTAGAGGTAATCTGTAACCGCTTCCAGAATCTTGATTTGTGTACCAGCCATAAAAGAACGGTGAGTACCTTAGGATGCCCTCGAATTCCCACAGAGTTAATAAGTGCTTCGATTTTATCTTCTCCTCCTCGGGCATTATCTTCCGCTCCCCTGCTGCTGCCTGGTCTGCTGTGAGCATCTGTCGCGAAGAATATCTGACGAAATTTGAGCGACTACTTTTCTTCGTAGTAGGATTTCAACTTCCTTCAATTTCTCAAATCCAAGTTTTCAAGTGCAATAAAAAGTTGATTGATAAAAAGTTGAAACTTGAGTGATTTAAAAATGATGGAATTATAATAATACCCTACTTTAAATTATAATTGATTGTCATACAAATTATATCACATATTTTTCAAATGATCTTGAATAGTCTCCAACAATAATTATTTAGTTAATGGTAACTATTATATTACCATACCTCAGGAATGGCCACGAAAGCAGTAAGAATAACTGTCATGACAAGGTTAATCCAAAACAACCAACGAAGAAAGGTAAAATACGAAGCCACTGCTGAACCAAAGTGTGATTCGATTTCCTTTATACGAAGTTCCCATGGCACCAACCATGTTTGAAGGTTAACCATCTCTCTCCGACAGTATTGCCATTTCTACAAATGAAACGTTGTCAATAGAAAAGATCTATATGTACCAACAGTTTTTTAAAATTATTACCTTTGTAATAAACAGGGAAATCCGAGCAATAACGTCTTTCGTGCTGCGAGTGTGAGCCAGTCTTTCCTGAAGAACTCCCTCGTGTCTTCTAACGTAGGATTTTGCTTGTCGTACTAATTTAATCTTCCGACGAAGTGGCCAAGCTTGTTGCTTCACTCCACTCAACACTTCTTTGTGCATTTTCAACTTTTCAAATATCTGTTCTTGACTTCCACTTTCTTCAATGGAGATCACCGTTCTGTACAAGTTTACACGGATACTATCTTTATTTCTTTCCATATTAATCATCAATTAACATTCTTTGTATGTTTATTTTAAATATTTTTAGTATTTTAATGTATTATATAGCATTTAATACATGTAATATCTCCATACTTTTTATTTTTTCTATTTAAATTATTTAGCTTTTAATAATCGCTTTTTAAATTTTACAGGGATAATTCTTATAATCGATAAACGTAAGATTGAAAGTAATATACTAACTCTCCGGAACTTATAGTGTAAACGGAAGATCTTCGACGTAGCATGGCTTCAGCCTCGGCGTTGAAGGGAGAGGATGGACGACGTCTCCGTCTGCTTTGTCGCCGACTAGAACTCCGTCGTTGCATGATCTCACATGCTGAAGCAGAATATTCATCCTCGTTGGCCTCTTCCTCTAAAATTCATTAAACATTCACATTTTATATCCATAAATTAAATTCCCCATACATTTATTATATTATGTATCACAAACATGTACAACTGTACAAAAATTCTTAAATTTTTTCACAACTCTTGTAAACTCCTTATATAATAATTAATTTTTATGTAAATAATTATGTAATAATTATGTAAATGATTATTTTCTATAATGGATTAGTATGGATCGTTAAAAACACCATTCAGAATGATATGAATTATATTAGTAAATGATTTCTTTAATTTACAAATACAGACCAGCTATAGAGACTCTCTGCATATCGGTGTAGTTTTTCACGTCAATGGCGTTTCTCTCTTCTTCCCTCGCTTGATTTGAGCAACTTTCCCTCTGCTTAACTTCGTCCTCGGTGATGACAAAGGTAACTGATCGTTCAATTGATGATTGCAGAGAAGTAACTGCCACCTACAGCAGAAGGCAAAACCAGGGAACTAGTTGGATGAATTTCACCCATAAATCATCCATTGTCACGCCACGTACTGTGCACACAATATGCACAAGCGATTGATTATCGAATGATAACGTCGAACTCAATTTTAAGCGTATAATTCTTATTAAATTCCACGTCCCTGTTATAAACTCCACTTTGGAAAACTTTTTCGTTGAACGTATTTTCTAAGGCTATTAATTAGCAAAGACACTAACACTTTTTGTTGTTATATCGCAGAGGAAGCTTTAAATGAAGAAAGAGGAAATTTGCCGATGATAAAAGACACCAACTTGGATGTTAATAAAACTGGAAGATTGCAAGTTAATAAGTCGATGATTAGAGATGAAGTGAGGTCGATGGATAGGAAGGGACTGACATCGTGTCAGTAGGAAAGAACCTGGTCATTCCCTGGTGAAACCATCCCTCTGTTGAAATCTATAAGCTGCCTGTAATGTCTACTCTACTCGATATCGGGCACGTCGTGTTTCCGTCCACGACGCAAATCCTCGAAATCACGAAAGGTCGTATATTAGGAGCAAGTAGATACTTCGTTTAACGATCAGACAGTTTGTTAGGTATATATCGTGATGGTTATAGGACAAACGTGTTTTCTATTGATGTTCCAATTTACCTTCAAAAAATAAACAGCTTTAAGGGTTAGCTTTAATAGGTATAAATAGCTTTAAGACAAAGGAGATGACTTCTTTCTTATATAACATAATCAATAACAAATTTATAAACAAGATTCTTCTATCATCATGCTATTAAAATTCTCATAGTCTTGCACTATTATTATAAAAATGATCGGTCCCTAAAATCTATATTGATATTATAATTCTTATTAATTTTTAAGCTCGTAATGTCCTTCTATCTTTTTTTTTTTCTTTGTCTCCTTTGTAAAAGTAAGAAAAATATAGAATTTACCTTCTTTATAAAATAATAAAGTATTGAATTCTAAATGTTTATAATTTTTATTTTCAGCAATATGTATCTCTTGTATGGATCAATCATCGATGGCAAGAGTTTAACAAGGTGTCAATGTGAATGTTCAGAGACACGAGGTCACATGCGACGTGCCGCACCCTAGATACTCATCGTGCTCACGTATAACTCGCATTCTTCACGTGACCCCACCCTGCGCTTCATAGATAATAATTCTTCTTTCCTAATCTCGCGTCGCGTAGCACGCGAGATCTATAGACTCCCGAAAATCACTCTCTCCCTTTTCGTCTACTATTTACTCTTGGGGCCCCAGAAATGAGATTTGTGAAGAGCCACGAAACGCCACGTTATCGTTATCAGTCATTTTTATGACACACCTTCGTAAAAATGAGTCATCTGTCTAAAGAAGCAGGTAATTTAAACAAGTCTTAGAATTGAATTATATGTATGTATCATTTTAATCTATACCAACTGAAATTTGAATCTAGATATGACGTATTTCCGATTTTGTAAATTTCAAACTATTACGCTTTCTCATTGTATATCATACGTACCTATGTTAATATTTTATTTTTAATATTGCATATAATTATATTATTCATTGAAACTTTACTCTATTTATTGTAATTAAATATATCATTTTATTGTTTTATTTTATTATTGAAGAAATTGTGTTGAGTTTAGCAGTATTCCATTGAAGATGATAACCATAGTCTTTTCTCAAAACTAGTACAAAAGAGGCAGTTATAGGGACTAACATTAATTGTGGAAATACGTGTGCAAGAAGTTCACTTTGCAAAACTCATTTGCTAATTAGCAGAGGTATACATCTTATTAGTCACTAAACTATCTGAAAATTTATCGAACCCAATGACAGCTTTGATACTCACGCAATGTCACTCTTTGCCGTCGACAAACACATTTGTTGATTAAACGGGCGTAACACAAATAAAAATTCTTGCTTTCTATTTTTTCAAACTTTTAATTGCTTTTTTGTTCTTTCATATGAAAGGAATATATTTAATTAGTTCTTCATTGTAGTACAGGCTCTTTTATTTATTTCAGAAAACATATGTTTGAACCTTACTTGCAGAGAAGGCTGCATCGACAATGATATCGATTGTACTCGAGATCGAGACACAGTATTCGATCTTAAAATTCCAGAAATTTTCTCCGTGGATTCCTGTTTTATACTTTCCTTCATATCTATATTCACAACTAAAGAATTATTTTACTATATTAAACTGGCCAAATTGCCAAATAAAAAAAGAAACGGTGATCTTTCGCGGTTTATTCTTATTAGAAACCAATCATTACACCTGCAAAATTTTCAATAAATTTCAGTTTATTAAAATTTAACCGTTACTTCACTAAAACTTTAATTCCTTTTTTAAAGATATTTCTCATTATTTTTATTATTGACAAGTAAGCTAAGTAACACATCAAGTTAAAAAGTTTTACTTATAAATTTTATAAATATGTTTAAAAAATTTTTATGTAGGTTTGTATAAGACAAAATACAAGTATGTATATTTTTCAGGAGTTAAATTGTTCTGGTCTTTTTAAGGTCTGCTGGTATACTGATTACCATAAAGGCAGGAAAGTACAAGCACTGTCAGAATAGTGAACTACACAATATGATGACCCTATTAATACTGAAAGATACTAACACGTATTAAACTTCAAACCATTAATAGTAGCAGATACAGTGGAAAGGATATAATTAAACACGTCGATTTTTCACAGAGCATTTTATTTACTGGCCATTGCAATTTTTAAATATACTTTCTGATGGCTTCAACGTTTTCATAAACCAATTGTTTATCTTAATTTATTTTAATTGCGAGTTTAACATGTCAGAGCTACATATTTATATACTCTTCTGAATTCAACATATAGATTTGTCTTTTTCTTTTTACGTTCATTAATTTTTCCATACATACAATACAAAAAGAATTTTCTTCCCTAAGAAATATGTTGGATAAAATTCATAAGAATTTAACACCAGATTAAATCTGCATCTTTCTATTTTACAGTACAGAGTTTGACTTGTAAAATTAGTTATAGATGTGTAATAAGTATGTACAAGAATGATGTACTTTATATACACTTATTTGTCACACGCTGATCACAAATTGTTTGCTCGCTTGTTGTAAATACATTTTATTAAAAGCTCTACTCTTTTGGCACGAGTTCGCCAAATCTAAAGGATACACTAAATTTATACTTTCCGCTATCAATGTCTGATTTTATCATTCAAAAAAAGACTGTTAACAACCATTTGGAACTATTATTTCTGTTTGTTATGTCGACAATTAAAATCCCACCTCCTATGAACACTCTACAGCGTTTATAAGGAAAACAATGCATTTACACGCTTCACTTAGTCCTTACATTTAATAATAAGCTTACTTGGGCAGAACTTTTGTGTGTAGATGGTTTTGTTTATATTTAAAGGCAAAAATAATTATAACAACAATTAATTAATTTTGATTGCATTATAATATAGACAGTTTATATAGCGGCCAAACAATCAACTCCAAATTAATTCGTGACCTAAGCCAACTACAAAATATAGAAAAGAAAACATTATTTTTTATAAAAAGCGTTCTACCCAAGAGATGATATGTTTAGTAGACAGTAAAATTTTTCAGAAACTACTCTGGAAAAGATCTTTTATCACTTGGTTGTATGTCTCGCCCAGGTAGTCCTGTGCACTTCGGACATCAGATCATTTCTTGGAGGCAAACGAGCACTGGTTGTGCGAGACGGCGGTGGACCAGGAGTTCTTAATATGGTAGCCAAGTTTTTCTGGTTCTGTAAACTTTGTTTATTCGACGCTTGACCGTTGGAGTTTTCTTTGGTCGGTGATTGCTTAGGTGTTGTATCTAAGCGTTTACCCTGAGGCGGAGGATCCAACACAATTGGTGGAATTTCGTCATGCAGATTGATTCGATCCTGCTTGCTCTTTGTCTCCTGAACTACGTGACTGACGTTCCTTTCGCCTGTACAGGGTAAAGGTTTAATAAATGTTGTCTTCAACTCTGTAGTCTCTGAACTTCCGATATAATTATCTACTTTGTGCGTCATTATGGGTGATGAACAGAAACTGTTTGGTTGAGAAGCTCTTAATGACATGGAATTTGGAGACAACTGGGCTGAGCTCTGTAAAATAAAAAAAAGTTGTACAAGTTATGTATATTTTGCTGGATTTCGTTACAATTAATATTAGAATTTACTTACAGCTGGCCTATTGTTAGGAGGTACAACAAGATTAGGACCCATTGTATAAGGAGAAGGCGTGTTATAAGGTGACCTTTGAGGTTGATATGGACTTATGTTGTGCAGCCTTTCTAGGAGTTGTGTTTGAAACTGTAACTGATCTGCTGGACAACTATTTCCTTGTATTCCTATTGTATTCAAACCTCCAGGGTATAAGGAATCTGGTGGATAAGAGTAGTATGGAGATGGTGGATCCAGTTCCCATGGTGAACTTTGTCCTCCTGTTCGTTGGCACTGTTTAGAAGGTAATGATGTTAAAACATTCTTCTAGAAAATATGTAAAAGAGTGGATAATTAGAAATATTAATGTTTAATACATTCAAATATTCAAAATTTTCACTTTTTAATTATCCTAGTATTTTCACATTTTATAAATTTAGTGAGGCAAAAATTTGGAATGTAAAACGTTAAGGAAGAATGACAATAGTTGATTACCTGAAACTCTACATTTTTAATTCTGATGCATGCTTTGTAAAAATTCAAAAATTGGCAACGTTACCTAGCATTTGTTGGTAGCACAAAATCCAAAATCCCGTGCGAAGACCTGTTACATAACATCGTCACACCGGCGCTTAGCACGATTATTGGATTAGCGATTTAGCTTTAACGTCAGCATTAAATTGCTATCTTCCGGCCGAGCAATCTAGGATGAAACGCGTCGCTCATAAGCAATACTGTTTTCACGTGTTTCAAAGTTTAACCGCTCATACAGTTTCCTTAAAAGGATTAAAAAGTTCCTTTGTGAAATATGCTTAAACTTATCACGTATACTTAACAACGTCTTTTTTCCATTACAGCGTTTAAATTTTGTTCCAGTATTTTTTGAGCAATTACTATTCATACTAAATAAATTATAAGATCAGATTGGCATATATCCATTTACGGATTGATACTATTTACATTCAGTTATCTTAATTATGTTAAAATATCAAATCCTTCATAAGCACAAAACAATATTTTAAAAAACATAATCATGAATGTACATGCAAAAAAAACTAGGACATTCAATTTGAATTATAGCAAATACTTTTAAACATACATTTAGTCGTATTTTATCTAAAAATAAAATGACAGAACGTAATCAAGTGGTACAAACAAAGAACAATCGCAATTTTAATAAATGTAAAAAGTAAAGAAAAGCACGCATTCTCAATTCTACAGTAAACAAATTAAAATACTTATAACACATTTCTTGATACAAAAACAATCTCGCTTGCTCGATGACGGGTGCAAAATATAAAAAATGTGCATAAATTGTTTTATTAAGAAGATCGCTAAAAGATGCGTCAGTACAAAAGGCGTTACGGTATAAAAAAAGAAAAGAAAAACAGAGAAAATACAAAATACAGTGCTAAACGTTAATTGGAATGCAACGTTCGCAGACATACGGCTTGCTGGCTGTTGAACACTCGTGTCATGGTATTCGGTAGAGCGTTACCTGGCCGAGGTTCGACAGATCAGGAACGGTGGTAGTTTGTTGCATCGTCGCTGAGCCAGGCAACTGAGGCTGTGAGGTTACGTGACCACTCGAGATTCTTTCTTGCTCTCGAAGATGGCCGACTAACGCACCTATATGCTCTAGAAGTTCTTTGTTTTGCATCAGCAATTGATGCGTCCTGGCCTAAAACATAAAACATAATAAATATTTGATATCATATTTAATTGAGCTTGTCAGTATGTATTAACAGCAACAAGTAGTTATTATTATCTGTTGATAAAAGCTAAAACACGTCAAGATATGAATGACATATAGACATAGATAAAATATAAGTACTTAGTATTATATTTGATTCAACTTATCAGTATCTACCAACAATAACAAATAGCTGCTACCGTCTATTGATAATATTTACACAATTTAAAAATATATACCGATGTCTCTTGATGTTTATTACTGCCTACAAATTTTTTTACAAACTTTACAAATTTTATAAACTTCGCTAATGCTTGCTTGTAAATTATCAATAAAATTATTAATAACTATCTATTCTAACATGTGTCAATATTTATTAACATTGCAAATCGGTATTTTCTATTGTCATACAAACAATATTAATTATGCTTATCAGTACCTACACCTGCTATTATATATTTACTCTAATTACTTTTACTACTGCTTTACTTTATTACAATTATTTTTTCAATCACATGTATGTATCTGGTAGCCTTCATTAATATCTATACAGAGCAGATGATAATACGTTCATTCTAGTACTGATAAATCAATATTTTCAGATCTGACACAATCGACAGACGGCCTATAAGCAAAGCAGCGCATCATCACTTACTTGAGCTTCGACTCGAGCTGCTGTTTCAGCCGCAAGCTGATCCTGAAGCAGTCGCGCATGGGCAACAGCGGCTCTGGTCTGTTGGCTCTGTTGCTCTAATCGTTCTCGCAACAGTTGAATCTCGTGCTTTAGAGCGGTTAATTCACCTCCAACCAGTAATCCTCCGCAATCGGAGGTCACCGTGCCCTATACATGAGATTAAACAATTATTCATAAATCTACTTATGTCCAATATATCTTAAAAGAGAATTTTAAGATAGACTAGCGCATTATTAATATTATATGACGATTCAACTTACCGATGGCGATTGTCTAATAGGGGAGGTAGACGCTGTGGTCGCTGGGATTTCGTGCGTCCTCAGAAGGCAAGGAACGGTCGTCTGTTCCGGTACCGAATCTTCTACGTCCCCTAATAGCGATATATCTAAAATACAATATAGTTTTTAATTTTCATTTGGAAAATTCATAACGAATAAACTGTAGTCGTTTGTGTAATTTCACATTTTTATGAACGTAACTAAACAGATCAAGGTAGAGATAGATATTTTTAAATTTCTCAAAAATGCATAAACATCCATAGTTTAATAACGGAGAAGGAGAAATATTACATTTGTAAGAGTCTTTTAACTTTATAGTTTCCAATATTATGAGAGAATTAAAAACAGTGTAAAGAATATTATGATTCATTAATACGTCATTAAATGAAAAACTAATTGAGAAAGGTAAATTGCTTCTTTTTATAGTTGAACAGAAGTCGGGATGTTAAACCTTTATGCACAGAAGACGGCGACGGTTGCGACTGTTCATTCGGAATTTCGTCTTGGTCCTCGTAAACGTCACGATGATTCTCACCGTGCTCCCTCTCTCTCTCTTTCTCCCCCCGGTCCCGTTCTTCCGTGGCGTTGTTTAAACTTAATTTATGGCACACCTCGAAAGCTTGTCCTACCGTTCTGACCACCCTCATCGCTTGACTCTAACGAAATCCAACTTTTTCAATTGAACGTACAAGTAAGTATAATATTTAGAGGTGACGAGGGCTAATTGTCGCATAGCATGCAGATATTAAGGTGAATTTGTACCTGATCATGAAACTTCAAGTACTGAGAGATCAAAATTCGACGCAAGCATGTTGGAACTTACAAATACTTTGGAGTTTTAAGGATAATTTCAGTCCAGTGGAAAACATAATAATATAAAACGTGAAAAGTCTGGGGATTGCGAATTTTCAGAAGATCAACACTTAAAATCCAAGTTCCCAAATTTTGGAATAATCAATTGTGATTTTCGAAAATTCAAAATATGCAAATTTTTGAACTTCAGATTTGTAAGTTTCCAAGTTCCTGTAAGACTTTTGGATCTCCGAATCTTTAAATTTTCAAATTTCTGGATTTTCTAATTCATAAACAATTAAATCTCTTGATCTCCAAATTATTTGTTTTTAAATTCCCAAATGCTCAAATTTTGAATTTTTCAAACTTTTGCGTCTCCAAATATTGCAATTTCGAAAACATTCAGATTTTAACGTTCCCCTAATTCCTTACTGGGGGGCTTCTAACCTAACCAAACCAAACCTAACCTCTACCAAGCTTCATTTCCAAAATCAAAAAGTCCAACTATAAACAAAAACAAAAAAAAAGGATACAAAAAAAAATGCTATAAAAAATTTGGCTCCATGAATAAAAATTAAGACATATAATAGTATAATTTATTCCTGCACGATGTTCTTCATCGGCCACGACATCCCGTGGCTCCTTTTTACTTTTCTTTTTTCATTATGGCAGCGGGACAACCTAACCCCATAAACGGCGTTATTCGTAAGCGTACACCTTTACCTCGAGCTCCTCGAGGTCATCGTTCTCCTCCTCAAAGGGGTTCTCATCGAAGCTAAAATCGACGCTTGTGGTCGAATGCGTCAGCTGAATAGGCGGAGGTTTTGTCTTCTTAAAAGGTTTCTTCAACTTCAGATAGTTGAATATTTCAGGTTCCTTGAACGAGAGTTTCTTCCTGGGCTTCGGGGTGGTCTCGACGCCAGAAGGACTAGCTGGACCGGAACTAGGGGACACTGCTGTCTCAGAGTTCGTTTGCTTCGAGTTCTTCAGCATGGTTGGTACGCGTTGCGCTTTTATGATGAGGATTTATTCAGTAAGTGACACTAATACTTTTTTCAGAAGACACTGTATGTACACATATAACATGGTGGAAGTTTATGGTCTTCTTATGGACTTCATTTTTGTTCTACATTGAATGGTATGTTTCCTTTTATACTCTTATCTTTTTCGATGCATTCAATAGTGAGTTTATTGTGAACAGCATGCTGTAATTTGAGCACGATGATAATCGAGTAATTATACGGTGAACAAACAATTTTGGTTTATGGAAATATTTAATTATAATGGCGAAGGATTAATTATTAATAATAATTTATTATTAAATCATTTATCACTAAATTCTTATTGAAAAGAGTACATACCTATATCTTGAGAATACATTTAGAGTATATGAAAATTTTGTAACTTTAACACACGGACTTCGACTAACTTTGATTACTGCAACTAAAATTTTACCCGCCATTAGTTTTATGAACAATACTCTTCGCTAAAGATATGTTTCTAATTCTACTTAACTAATTCCAATGCAATCGTCATTCCCGCCCTAATTTACATCACAAGGTGTAAACAATTTAACAAAAATTCGATTTCCAACTCTTGCCAGTTTAAACGCTTTATAACTTCTCTGTGCAATACATATACTAAAGCTTCGTTTTCAATTTCAGCGAGTCAAACGAATCCGATCATCGAGGTATTACCATTCTCAAAAAGTATCTAATCCTCGTAAATGAAACGGGTACTCGAATAACCGCGAATCACGATCCGTTGGAAGCGATAAATGGTGTAACGAAATTTATTTCAAATATAAGCGCCGGCGAAGAATCGATATTTACGTGTTGTAGCGTAGCTGGACGATTCCATTTATAAACAGCCGACCGGCCGGTGTGGACCCGACAACTGGCAAACTCCCCGATAAATCTTGCTCTTGCTTTAGAAACTATTACGGACCGGCGTCGTTAACGGAGCTACACGAGAGTTTATTTGCTCTGTAGCATGTACAACCGGCGACGCAAGTCGCGTTCGCAACGCACTCTCGTTTCATTCGAGGAATTAATCTCGAACCTGTAAATCTACAATCCGTCCATCCAGACGTTTCAAGACTCGTTCTGTGTGGGTTGCAATAGTTACCTTGAAATAATACTGGATGGAGTATTATTTATGTACTTTTTTCCATTGTGTAACATTCTTTTTTTATTGACTTTTTTCAACTTTTCTAAGAAAAGATCTGTTTCTAAAGATCATATTATAAAAAAATAGTACAGTATATCTTTTTTAAATTATTGCTATACTTGCTATTTTCTAATGGATACCGTTTAGAAGAAACATTTTAACAATAAATAATGTTTCATGTTATATCATTTCTTTTGTAGATCTATAGAGTAACTGTAATTAGAAAGAATGAAGAAAGAAAATAAAGATTCAAGAGAAGATGCATTTCTAGAACTGCTTCTAGTAGGATTAATATAGGTAAGAGATTTTTTAGTAATAAATAGTATTTTTATTAGTATTTATAATTATATGATTTCTCTCTTAGAAAGAGTAAAACTGCTGCAATGATTGAAATGGGTGGAAGAGGATAATGTAGATGTAAGAGAAGATCTATTTCGGTATAGGCCTACTTTTACAGGGATTACTTCCTGAATGTATGAATCAACCCCAATGACCTTTACTTTATTCACATACCGGTAAATCTACTGTAGTCATTCATAAATCTCGAACTTGACCTCACATGACGGCCATTAGTGATAACGTGCAGCAAGTGCGTCGCTTTGATTAGACGAGCGTGCGTAACACGAGTGAACATGCTCTCATCGGTGATTAAGTGGCAACTTGATAACACGCGTTCCTTTCGATCGAACGCACGCGATCATATTTAAAGACGCGCAGCTTGTGTTTGCATAATTATGATCGTCTGACACGCATCACAATCTAACTACATACGTAGATGAATGTATTTCTTACTCTTCTTTTATTCCATCAATTATATCTGTTTCTCCCTTTTTCCTATTTTTCTTCTTCCTTCTTTTTCAGATCTGTTTTATAACTAATTATGAAATGAAATTATTATTAGAAAACTGATATGTATGTTAGAGAAAGTTGTTAATTTATTTAATGGGTATTGAGTAGAATAAAATTTAAAATAAAAATAACATGTTAAATGAGATTATCATTTCTATACGAATTGTCTAATATGTCTTTTTCACAGGTAATTATACGACCACATTGGCGATGTCTCTATCGATAAGTTCAAGGATACACTGTACATAAATTGATAACACAGAATCAGGCAAACGAGGTGAAACCTGTTCAGAGAATCAGTGAAATGGAACACGAACACGTGGCCTAAAATAAATAGCTACGGTGTTTACGCCAAATCTCTAAATCCTTTGATCTTCCATCTCCTGTTTCTTCGTTCGGATTAAAAGCGAAGAAGATAAAATGTATAAAAATATACAAAGTTTTTAATATCGATAAAAAAACTTAACGAAAGAAGGTATTAAAAGATGGTATAGTGTGAGAACAAGTAACGCTAGAAGTATCAGTCGTTCAGTTTCGATTCTCCAATTACCTCGATCGGTATATTGTTCCAGTGGGCGGAAACAGATTCGTGAGAAATCAAAGGCTTCTCTTGAAAGCTTCATTTTCTGAAAGCTCTCTATAAATACTTGCTGGTTTCGAGGAACAATTTCAGTTTACTACCGCATGAGTTTTTACAACCTTATTATTATTATTATTATTATTATTATCCACCCAAATAGGTAATATTATCTTCATCTTAAGAAAACGATTCTATATAAAGAAAGATAAATGAAATATTATATAATACTATTAGGTGACTATCTTAGAGATAAGAGTGTAAAAGGAAAGCAAAACATCGAAGCTGTACTGAATTATTATGGAATGCTGAAATCCTATCCCATTGATCGTTTGGGATTGATCGTGTTTACTTGTCATTTTTACAGTCACTTAACTATTCAAGCATTTACGGATAATTTTGAAAATGAACAAATGGTCGACGAACAATTCATTTTTTCTCAGAATGAAATTCTACCTCTGTTTGCTGAGAAGAACGTATCACTAAGATCGATCTTCATTTAAGGCTTTTGCGATGTTGTCGAAGGTATTTTCGGATGTCACTGAACAGATCACTTTACTTGTCATTAGACTCACTGAACAGATCACTTCACCTATCATTGGGATTCTTAGAATTGTTCTATGATTGTTGTTAGATATTTTTGTCTCTTTTATTGGTAAGTTGATCTTCTTTTTCAATTTGAAGTTTTCAATTCAATTTGAAGAATTTGGAATTTTTGCGTTAAAATTTATTCAGTTCATTAGTTTCTTGGACTTTTACGTATCTCCTTTTGCTTCGCTACTTGGTTGTTTTAAAACTGGTTTGAAACATTGTTTAGAATTTTGTTTCTTTTACAAACCATTGTTGATTTAGCTTTTTATTTCTAGATGAAACTACTTCAACTTTTCTCCCCAAGATGCACTCAATTCCTCATTTAAAATTTCTTCAATTTCTGGTCCATCCAGGGTTCTTCCACGCCTCTCTCGAGTCTTCCCATTTTCTTTCTGAAACTTGTTCTATTTTCTCTCCAGAACTCTTCTCAATTTTCTGTTTCCCAAAGCAAGTCGAACGTTCCTCTACAAACTTTCTTCTTTCAAACTTCCCAAATTCCCTTCAATCAATTTTTCCCACGCTGTATCTATTCACAACTTTTTGTTTCAAAATTAATATTTTCGAGTTTCTCTCTTTATACTTGTCAAACGAGTACTTTATTTTCCTTTACTCCAAAATTCTGTATCTTCCTCTTCTTCTTCTTCTTCTTCCTAAGTCATACTCCTATTCTTTATATCCTTTTCTCTTCTCCATTTTTCTTTCAGTTCACTTGTCTCCTCTTCATTCCTAAACTATCACGGCGTTTCTACCTTTTTCTGTTCTTCTTACAAATCACTGTTTTATTCTTTCATTAAACAGTACAACTTTCAATTTTTTCTTCCGCTCCCTATTCTTTTCTTAAGTCACTGTTCTTCTTTTATCTTCTTCCAAGTTACAAATTCTATTCTTTAGTTAGTTTATTTTCTCTTGTCTTCTATATTCTTACTCTTCCCCGTTATTCATCGTGCTATCTACCTTCCTCCATTCATCTCCTTACCAAGAGTATGAAATCTTCATTTACTTGATCTGCTATTGTGAGCTCGACGTGAAGAGTTCCAAAATGAAATGAGGCGAGACTCGCGAAGAACGCGGCCGCGCGTTCTCGAAATACTCGAAAACGAGCGGTATCTCGCCGCGACGGCGGCCAGGTGGAGCGGAACTAAGCGGCGGCGTGTGCCTCTGATGGATCGCTAGCCGAGCGATAGCGTCAGCGGAGGAGCAAAAGCTTCGCGACGCCGCGGCTCGCTGGATTTTTCCTCCGGTTTATTTATAAACGCATTAATATTCTCGCTTTCGTGCAGCTCAATAGCATTTCCGCGTTCGTCTTCTACAGACGCGCGAAGAAAGTCTGAACTCGTCTCTTCTTCTATCTTTTATATTATTTGACATCAATTGAAGCGTTGACGACTGGTGATTTCTTGGCTGTTGCATTATCGCAAAACATTATTTGGAACGTCTCTGTGGCGTAGTTTCTTTTACTTTGCTTGTTTGCTAGCATTTTTAAGTTTTGTATCAAAATTGTTCTTTTTCTGATCTTTCTATTAGACAAGAGGATTTTTTGATTTTCTTAGGAATAAAGTTCAGTGTTGTAGGGAATTGTTTAAACTATTTAATATAGATTTAGAGCTTAATATAGATTTGTCTTCATAGTTTTTTCTTACTTTTTAATATTTTTCTTCTAATCTTCTTGCTAGTCTCATAAGAAAATTCTTTGATTAATTTTATGGATGAGGTTTAGAATTGTAAGGAATTATTTGGCGTACCTCATGTGGACTTGGAGTTGTGTTCCCTTTCCTGAGCTTATTTTTAGCAAGAAATGCTTTTTTGTATTAAACATTTTATATTATAATATTTATATTTATTTAATATATTATATTATAATATTATATTTATTTTATATTATAATCATAAAGTATTTTTGGAAAGGTGGCATTTTCATTTATTTGGATATTTCATTTTTATCTGCTCAGAGTTCTGTTTTTAATACAGATGTACTTTTGAGTAGCTCAAGTGTAAAGTTGGAATTTTCTTCTGGTGTTGACTTTAATCTTTTCTTTGGAGCAGAAATGTTTTTTTAGGGATTCAATGGAAAACTTGAATCTTTATCTCCATCTTCTCTTGGCACATTTCCTGAAGTATTTTGGGTTAACGCAAAGTTTAAATTTTCTTATAATATTGCTCCTAATTTTATTTATTAAACAAAGATCTCCAAAAAAATTCTTGGAAATATTTAATATAAAATTTGGAACTTCTTCTTTATTTACTCCTTGAATAAAGGAATAGAAACTTTTTTAATATCTTCAGCATAAAGTACAAATTTTCTTCTCGTATTATTTTCTTCCTAGAACTATGTACGTCTTCTAATTTCCCTCTGTCAAGCTCATTCATCTTTCCGTCCCACGCTTCGTCTATACACGTACACCTCTGTTACATTCCTTAATTAGCTTCTAGAGTTACAAAGAAACTCAATCAATACCTTATTACGTCGAGTTTCTTCTCACTTCCAATTATGATGTACTTCCATTGCCATTATAATATTACTCATTACGCGTATATTTCACACTATTCATATATATTAATCAGAATTAATTATTGTCATACTCTTTCTGCGTTGCTTCAGAGAAATTCTTGGTTTGTACCTACAAAGTCAATCTTTCAATGTACATGATTCACAACAGTTACCAAACAAAAGAATTCCAACTATACTTCAATCTCCACAACCACAGACACTAATCTGAGAATCTTTTCCACCACACTGTGCCTCTTCAAACAACAATTCTTGAGAACTGACCCCATCTTCCTTACTAAAAGTCCAATCAATTCAAGTATCAAGATATACAAATTTACAGAAATAGTCTTCTATTCAAAGATCAAAAGTATGGTCTCTTCAAACTCATCCAAGGTTCACCAAATATAAACATTACATTTCTGCAATCTTGCTCAAGGATTTTCGCACTTGTTACGCTCAAATAACTATATAGAATTCCAGTATATTTTCCCTTATTTAACTACTTTGTTTTTGAAATTTGTTATATTACGTGGCCAGATTTCTATTATTATTTGTAAGTTTCTTTGTTTCCCCTGTTACTTACTCTTCGACAATCACACATAATTCCGCTTCATTGATTTCCTTCGTTCGTCCTCTTCTCTCTATCTTCAATCATTTTCGCTTACATAAGACAAATCATGTTATTCTCTCGAAGTTCTTTTATTCCCCTGCTACTCACTCTTCAATATCCGTACACAGTTCCAGCTCATCGATTTTCTTCAATCATCCTTTTCTCTTTATCTTCATCTTCTTCAACCACTTTGACTCGCAATTTCATTAATATCAGTCAGATTCTTGTTACTTGCTCTTCAGTGATCCTACACAATTCTTTTCTATCAGCTTTTTCTTCAGCTCCTTTAACAACCACTTTCATACAATTTTATTATACTTTATGGTCGGATTCTTGTTACTCTTTATAACTTCTTTTGTTTTCTTGTTACTTTCCAATGACCCTACACAATTCCTGTTCATTCACTTTCTTCAATTATTCTCTTCTCTTTCTCTTTTTCAAACCACTTTAGCTCACAGTCTCATCACATTTCATAACCAAATTCATATTACTCTCCCTATGTTCTTGAGTTTTCTCCAGTCTTCTTTGATCACTTTAACGCAATTTTCATTATTAATCAACTTCTTGTTACTCGTTTCAAGTTCCTTTTTCTATTGTTTTCTTCTCAATTCCTCGTCTTTACAGTCCTTTCTTCTGACTTTCTTCACAGCTGACCAAGGTCTGTGCGTTTTCTTCGACGACCAAGCCGCTCTCTCTGCTTCTCTTCCTACTACTACTCCTCCTTTTCTGCTCTTTTGAGAGCTGAAATGAGAGAGAGAGAGAGAGAGAGAGAGAGACAGACAGAGAGAGAAAGAGAGGGAAGGAGAACAGGCAAGAGAGAGCTTAAAGTGCTACGGCACAAACGAGCTTTCAGAACGCGGAAAGCAACGCTTGAAATTCGCCCGTTTGCGTTCCCGTTTCGAGCATCCTTCAGTCGAAGCAGTAATTCGGTTGAGCGATTCTACTCGGTCTTTTCTTTCTCATGCTCTTCTCTCTTCGTTTTATGTTACAATGATAACGAAACACGTTACACACGTTTAGAAGAGTCGGTTAGAGTCCTCCAGCAAGATGTTGGGAAAAGGAATGTTGTCAAGTGATTCCGGATATTAGCTATTATGAAGTGTTACGCACTGAATATTCATTCTTCTTTCTTCAATTTAGAAAAAGAAGTTGTTATATGTTTCTTTCCTTTTATCTTCTTTTGATTCAGAAAAGAATAAATATGCTTGTTTATACCATTTGAAGTATTACTTTATCTTTTACAAGTGCTTCTTCAGTTGTTATAGCATAAAGTAAATAATGTTCTTCTTTTCATTTTCTTCATTTCTATTCGTATAGAGTTTCTATATAAGAATTGAAGACTATTAGAAAGATAAATTCTAATAAAGAATATTATAATGATGTTATTTAGAAAATAGAAATTAGTAACTGGAAGAGTTTTATTATTAGAAAGATATATATTTCTAATAAGAATATTTTTATACTTCCTTGTCTACACGTATGACTATTTAAAGGAACTCTGTTGACCATTTGACTTGTAAGATATCTTACATGGAATATACGAAAGGAAACAGAATGATTGACTATCGTACCAGTCGAAATATAAAAAGTTCCCTCAACAAAGTAAAGCATAAGTATACAGAGCCTAATTCATTCATGGAATTGTTTATTTCTAGTCGCGAAAACGGCAGAGAACTTAGCAGCGATTCAAATCACTTTTCTGAACCTCCCTCCCGTTCACGTTTATTTCCTGGACTGTCGTCCAGGTGTCAATCACCGTTCAGTGAAATTTTACAATGAGCTTTGAACTTTAACCAACGGCTAAACATATTCGGACCTTGCTATATTGAAGTTTATTTAGCGAATTTACCCTATACATAACCGCCATTGAAATTGAAAAACTTTGAATTTCAATAAAAAATGATAAAATATTTTCTCCTTTCATCATACTATGTGTACTCCTAATTTTCTTGTATTTTACATAAATATTAATTTTGTTATATTTTCACCTATAACTTTGTCCCAGTTATTTATTGTCTCATCTAATAACAAATAATCCTCCATAACTGATGAATATTTATGTATATATATCTCGCACTTCCAGCTACAAAAGACGAACGATGTACAAAAGTTTATCGAAAAAGGAGAATCGAAGAAACTCCACGCAAGAAAATTTGAAAATCGTGTTTACCATGAAAGTTCTCGAAGACGGTCGAAAAGTGACAGAAGCTCTTCCACTCGTGAGCTTAATGACGTGAAGCTTTAAATATTAGCTCGTGGTACATAAATATTTCTAGCTGCATAACTTGTTCTATTTCCAGTCTGTAATTTTTAAAATTTATGACACATTTGAAATCTTAACATCTACTGAAGAAAAAAAGAAGTGGAAGAAAAGGAAAGAAAAATAGAAATTCAGCTATGTTGAAGATCTCTTTCTCTTTTTGTGAGAACATTTAATTGAAATTTTTACCTCCAGTCTCTCTCTTTCTTTCTCTTGTCCTTAATTCTTCCACAATTGTTGTTTATATAACAAAAGCTATTGATTTACCAATTATACTCTCGGCATTTAGATGTCACATCTTTAATTAATCACAATAATTTTTCTAGATTTACCATTACATCTGATGCACCAATTTTAAAATAAATAACTTTTTGAATAATTGAATACGTAGTTCCATGAAATTTAACATTCACAAACTCCAGCCATTTATTGCGTATTAATCCAACAATTTACGCACACATGAAAAGAGACAACAATTTTATTATTAATATTCCACCATAGGTGTTTGAAACAATAACAGTTAAATAATAAAGTCATAACAGATATCGTTTCATCTAAAATATAAATTAGTTTCTGTCAAAACTAAAAATAAAGTGCAGTAGTACAAATATAATTTTTTATATAAAATATTCAAATGATCTTCTGCCAGTAGATTGAAATAATATGTCAGTACAGTCGTATGGATTTAATAAGAATGTAGAGAAAAATGTGGTTCCATTTTACTGGCACGATTCTTCAGAAATAACAACTCTCTGTGTAGTTGATTTAAAATGCGCGCCACTCGGTATTCAAAATATTTTCAGACGATAATTTACGCGTGAACGCTGGGATCGATGTATCGTGCGAGAGATTCGTTGCCGTGAGAGAAATATTTTTAAAACGGCTTATTACCGGTGGGCTCCTGTAAACCAACGCTGTATAAGTTAAAATTAACGCCTTGACAACGTGTATGACGCACATAGTGCGTCTGCTGTACTAACGATACGATATACATACCAGTTGTCGAAGTTCAAACAGTTCTCGCATATTGCCTCGAAACAGTATAAAGTATCGAAAAAGTTACAGAATTTGAACAGATGTTTATCTAAAACATTATTTCTGAACTATGTTCCAAGACAAACAATTGTACTTTTTGTAACTATCAAATATCCATGACTTTGTCCATTATGAAGTATGATCTTTTATTTTCAAGAGAAGAAATTGTATTCCAATGTATACGATTGTAGTTTTCTATTGTATCAGTCTGTGGATTTTTATAATATCTTATCCTCTTGACTTATTTAATTAAATAATAAATACTCACAATTTTATCTATTATGAATTATTGTATGTTTGAAACCTGAGCCCCTTTGCACAATTAAACTCATATTATTAGTCAAACTTTGCTAATAATAAATTGCTAATCACTAGTGTTAATAAATTCTTTAATACATATTACACTAACACCTATCGTGTTTCATAATGAAACAAAAGAAATTTCTAGAAATAAATTTTACCAATTATAAGCTATGTATTTATCTATTTGACTTCAGATTGCAAAATTGTGGGAAACAGCTACATAACCTATAATTTATAACTAGACAATTCTAAACTAATAACAGTAGTCAAGTAAAGATTGAATAAATACTTTCTGCGCAGATAATGCAGGAAGTTAGTGGTTTCAAACGATTCTTTGTTTTATGTAATTTTCTCTTGCTCGAATAAAACGTTTGACTGTTTTCCATAAGGAGATCGATAAAAGTTGAGCGTTACAGTTCGTTGACCAACACAGATAGAGATAGAGATAGAGATAAAGATAGAAATAGCGATAAAAAAAGAGATAGAGATAGAGATAGAGATAAATAGATAGATAGATAGATACATAGATAGATAGATAGATAAATAGATAGATAGATAAATAGATAGATAGATAGATAAGGAGAGAGAGAAAGAGAGAGGGA